GGTGGAAATGACCTCTGGGTGGCGTCCGACTCTGGCGCGGCTCTTAGCCCCCTACACTCCCTCGGCCGCCACTGTCTCCGCAGAAGGGTTTCTCTGCAGATCTCACTCCCTCTCTTCCTGCGCTCCTCCTCGCCTCAGAGAGCCCGAGTTCCACCTGTGAAGGATGGGAGGAAGGCAGAGATCTGAGGAACAACATGGAGCTGACAGTGGGCCGACAAGAGCGACTGCTGTGGGCCTTAGTTCTTGGCCAGAAGAGCCTCTGTTCTTGGCAGGAGAAACATTATTCATGGAGAGAAAACCCCAAAGATCCTCTTTGATGTACAAAACCATGAAGTCGCGGGCCTTAAAAGAGATTGACAAAGAGTCCATGTTTCCATTTCTTAGGGTGACAATTTCCATGTATTCGTCTCATACACTTCAAGGATCAAAACACCAAAAGCCACCAGGAGCCAGACAGGAGGTCTAAATGGATGGAGACTCAGATGCCAGTAGGGGTGGGAACTGTGCGAGTTTAGGCACTCAGTCTTGGAATTCTAAATGCACATTTTGCTGGCCAACAACCCAGGGACTCAGCTCACAAGCCTCCCATTTCAACCCCCCTGCCTCTAGTCTATTTCTAAGTACTATTTATTGAGTTCTTTACTGTCTCACGGGCACTCTTCTAAGCACCTTAGATGTAGTAACCATTTTAAGCCATGAAATGACCTTCTGAAGTAGGTGCTATCATTACCACTGTACCCATTTATAAGTGGGGAAACTGAAGCATAGATCACTTTACTTTTTCCAACGTCAGGCAGATAGAAAGTGGTTTGGCTGGAATTTGAACTCAGTCTAGCTCCAGAAGCCAATTTCTTAGCCACCAGTATTATATGTACAGTCCGAGTATATAGAGTTGTATCCTGGGGCATTATGAGAAGCCTATTTTATCACTATGAGCAACAGAGTATGTTTAATTGGACAGAGAACAGGCATTAGAGACAGACATATCTGAGTCTGGATCCTGCTTCTACCATTTACTATGTGATCCCAGAAAAAAATTAATGTCTATCTTAGCTACAGTGTCTGGTCAGAGACAAAATTTCTTACTCCTAGGGATAATTATCAGGATTGAGATGATACACATAAATGTGTTCAACCTAAGGCATGACATCAAATACCATTACCAATTATGGGGGGGGAGCTATTACTTAAGTTAACAACTAAGCATCTAACATTTGGCTCACCTAATTTAAACATCACTACCCACGCTGACCACAGGAAGGATAAAGATCCTTACCACTCTTCTACTAACAAAAGATTCATATCACCAAAACTCTAAGTTTTCAAAAGGAACTCATTAAGAGGAGAGTATACATATTTCAAGGGTTCGTAGCACAGAAAAATATAGTTGAAGGTCTCTAAATAGTGGTTTTTCCTGGTATTTTTAATAGGATACCCCTCATTTCTGAAACAATAACTGATAATGAAGAAATCATCTCTGTGATCCCTGACTCAGACGCTAGATGGCACTAAATTCTCATCTCAATTACATTTTCTGGGGTCCCCAAGCCAGAGCCAGGATTTGGGGTTACTCCTCAGCAGGAAGTTTAGGAGCTTGAGCTGCTTCGGATGTTTTACTGCTGCATCCAGGCATCTTCTGAAAGTGAACAGACTTCAGATGAGGTCATCCAAGATGTCAGCCCAGCCTGACCAAGTATCCCCAGCAAATAATATTTGCTGTGTACTCAGTGTGCTCACCCTTGATGAGAGTTAGGGACATAGCCTTGGTTAGGACAGAAGCCATCCCTGATCTCCAGAGATTTGTCCACCATCTCATCATTTTCCCCTCAGGCTTCCTGCTGCCCACGGGAGGCTCCAAAAGAATCACTTAAGACGATAAAGCCCAGGAAAGTTGGAGCCCCAAGAGAACACAGAGATCACTTTATCTCCCCCTCACTTTTCAGATAGGAAGACAGAGGCCCAAAGAGAGGAAGTGAATTATTCAAGGCAGCATGGGCTGGCAGACCAGAATTAGGACCAGATTCCCCACCCCAGGTCCTTTCTTCCCTGCCTGCTGTCCCTGTAATTCCACATGGGAAGTGCCCCAAGGACAGCAAACCAGGATCATACCAGTAAATGGAAAAGAAAAAGAACCCAAGTTTCTTGGGTTTCCAAAAATGACTCCACAGGACAGTACACATCCTAACACTCAGCAGCTACACCCAATTGGTAACACCCATTTCAACAGAACATTACCAGGTATTTAAACACAGGCTGGGGTTTCCTCAGAGCATTACCCAACAGGTGTTGCTCTGGGTGTTTGCGACCAGCAACAGCTTGCGCAGGTGCCACACCCCTTCCTGCCCAGAATAGGTTTGCAGCAACTGGGCTGCCCCTATCCTTTGCTTACTTCTAGGCATTTTGCATCTTTGCTTAGGCCTGGAATAGAGCCAAAATAAATACAGTAAAACCTCCATAGCTGACCACCTCCTCAAGTTGACTTAATTTTCATAGACCAGACATGCACTGTATATATGTATCAGTATAGTAGGCCTAGTTCTTTATGTTGACCACCTCACTATGTTGACTTTGTCTATTGGATGGTCAACTTCTAGGGGTTCTACCATAGTGGAGAAGAGAAGGAACTAGGCCCTGTCTTCTTAACCAGGTAATGAACTTGTTATCTACAGTTTCTCCGAGGCTCAGTCTCCCTGTCTGTAACATAAAGGAGTTAGATTAGAATCTCTCTTCAGCCTTAGCCTTCTAAGCCCTGCCACATGGCTGTCCAGCTAACTTTATTATAAAAAGCAATTAATCATGTTTAAATACTGCACTTCATGTGATAGATGTAGGTATCATTTGCTTTCTTTCTGATCCCTACTATTTCAAATGTCAAAAGTGCGAGCTTTTCCCTATGTGTGTTTTTAACTTTTTTTTAAAAAAAGTTTAATTAGGAAATATTTCTGGCCTAAGAAAGTATTAGAATATGGAGAAGAGGATATATTACATGATAAGCAAATATTGCAAAATGTTGATGGTGGTATCTAAGTCATAGTTGAGTGTTCACCAGGCAATTTTTTCAACTTTGCTCTTCATTATTTTCATAATAAAATATTGAGAAGAGAAAAAAAGAGTTTTATGAATAATATAATGAACACCCTTGTAGCCTCTACTTGGCCTAAGAAATCACCTGCATTTGCATGTTCAGTCTCCTAGCCTGAAAGTTTCTTGGTACTTTTACTACAATGTAATTATTTTGCATGGTAAAATTTCTTAATTTTATAGGTAAGACTTCATATATTGTGTATTTCCTTCCCATTTTTCACCGAACATTATAGTTGTGAACATCCACACTGATGTATGTGATCCTGGTTAATTTGTTGTTATTGTTTTGAGGCCCATTGTATGAAATGACAGTGGATTTATTGATCTGGTTGCCAGACCTTTTAGGTATTTCCAATTTTCTTTAATTGCAAAGAACATTGCTATGTCCATTATTTCCGGGGCTGTCACCTTATACACGTGAAAGGTAGGACAACAGAGTTAAGCTCTTGGAGATGCCCATGGCCTCTGGCACTCCAAGCACAGATGGATCCAGGTGTTCAAACTATGTCCTCAGGGACTTGTCTCTCGCCATCTCTTGGTTCTTCTTTTATACTGGCTTTGAATTCCGTGGTCTCTACACATGTGGCCACTCTTAGCAGTTCTGGCCTTTTATCCTGCTACTTTGACAGCCCCAGAGGACAAAGGACACCACTTTCTGGAAAGTTCCAGCAACAGTCAGTGGACCAGATAGCAACTTGTGTTCATCCTGCACCAGTCAGACCAGATTTCTCATTAGCCAGCCCTGCGCTCACTCTTCCCAGTCTCACCAAAGCCAAATGAGCTGAGAACAGGGAAGGGGGAATTCCCCAAAGGCAAACAGAGCAATTGTTACCCATTGAAGGAGGACTGGATGCCAGGCAGGCAACAACACAAACATGCAGGACCCATCAGTCGTCTATGTGCATCTCTTTGCCACTGCACATCTCACGGTGTGACTACAGTGCCATTTACATGTCTGTGTCGCCTGTTCGGCTGGGAACCTCTCACAGAGAAAGACTTCATCTTTTATCTCATCTTCCCTAAGTGAATGCAGCTCAGTATCAGTTTATAATTAACAGCAGCGTGTGGACCAATCGCAGGACCAAACAGCAGTAAGGAGGAATAAAGAGGCCTATGTAACACTTAGCACTGTATCTGGCACACAAGTACTAAATAACAAGTACTGTTATTATTAGGTGGTAAGAGGACGGCAACCCAGAGAAGCAAAGGAAATATGCCCAGATGTGCACTGGGGATCAAGGTTCTGAACCTTGACTGCGTATTAGAATCAACTAGAAAGCACTGAAGATGCTAGTGCCAGCCTCTTTCTACCCATTCAAGGTGAATCCATGGGAGCAGAGCCTGGGCATTTTTTTGTCAAAGTTCCCGAGAAGATTCTAATAGGTAGTGAGGGTCAAGATTCTCCTCAAGGCTAACACAGCTGGAGACAAGCAATTACCTGTAAACAAACCTGCTAACAGTCCATCAGAAGTACGTCCCTGGGCCCAAAAGGGAGACCAGCTCGGCTTTAGAATCAAAAGAGAAAAACTATCTTAAATTGAAAATTTATCTATTTTTGGCTCGGCACCCATAGCTCAGTGGTTAGGGTGCTGGCCACATGTACCGGGGCTGGTGGATTCAAACCTGGCAAGGGCCTGCTAAACTACAATGACAACAATAGCAAAAAAATAGCCAGGCATTGTGGCGGGTGCCTGTAGTCCCTGCTACTGGGAGGCTGAGGCAAGAGAATTGCTTAAGCCCAAGAGTTTGAGGTTGCTGTGAGCTGTGATGCCATGGCCCTCTACCAAGGCGATGTAGTGAGACTCTGTCTCCAAAAAAAAAAAAGAAAATTTATCTCTTTTCTAATCCTGAATACGATATGCCAATAAAACATATCATAATTACTAAATTCTCAGAAAGCAATCACTCTGCAAAAGTCATAACAAAGCTCAAGTGTTTATTAGGAATTAAAAATACTGTAAATAAGCCATACAGTTCATTTCACAGTAAACTAAACAAACTTTTTTTTTTTATTTTACTTTTCAGGGGGTTTTTTTCTTTTTTTTTTTTTTTGTTTTTTGTTTTTTTGTTTTTTTGAAGGGCAAGACGGCCATTAAGGAAGAACAATACAGCTCAAATGGGAAGGGAGATACAGCGAACAATTACAGAAATGCAGTGCACACGCTCCTGACAGATGGGTCTGCTCTGATGGCAAACCTCTTCATGGGCATCCATCGTGTGAAAATAGAAAGATTTGGCCTACATTCTCCAGAGAGACATCCCATTCCTGCCCTGTGTATGGACAGTCTCATAATACATTTCTTAAAAGAACTCAAGGACTCCCGGGTCTGGGGTTCTAAACCTCTAACCCTATGCATTATCTGGTGACCCTCCGGAGAGCTGACACAGGCCGGCCACCAGGGACAGATGGGCACCGGGACTCTGCTGGGTGTTGTGCTTTCACATTCGGAACCGTCTGGATTCTTTGCATAGTTACCTTTGATATCACTAGATGATTCAGGAATGGAAAAGACACTCACACCTCGGGAGGAGACTGTCAGGTAGCCCATTCTTATAAAATAAAGGCCGGGGGGCTTCCATCCCTCCTGCTTCAGAATCGACATCTATGAGTTTTAACCAGTTTAAGTGGAAGACAACAAGTGAGCTCTTTCATAAAAACTTCAGCTAGAAGTATAAAAAAAAGAAATAAAATTCATTTTCCTTAAAGACAATTAGAAAGAAAAGTCCCGCCCCCCCCCCCTTTTTAAATTTGAAATCTGCCAGCCAGACAGGATTTTTGAGGTTAATCTGCTTCTGTTAATCCTACACTGAAGCCACTATCATTTTTCTCAGACATGAGAAACATCCCTTCTGAAAGCCACCTCTTAGTCACAGGGGCTGGGCCTTCAAGGAAACCAACCAAAAGCAGAAGCAGGGACCTGAAGAAACCAATGGTGTGTGGTAATAACTGTAAATAAATTAATTGGGGACACAAGTACAATGCCTTGGTGTTCAGGTGGCATCTACCGGTCGAGGGGATGAGAAGGTGGGGTGGGGGCACATGGGAGAAAACAACACATTTTTTTGGTCATGAGAAATTGGACTTTAAATCCGCACCCTGCACAAACAATTCATTTAGACTTTCTCGTGAATCTTTTCCACTTTCACAAACAACCTATCCAGGTCATTTCTCAGGTCATCCAGTAAACCCTTGGCTGATTCCAGGTTGTTCTCGTTGGTTTCTATTTTGACCGAGTATGCGACCAAACTGTCCACAGCAGTCCTGAGCATTTTCAAGTCCGACTCCACTTGGCTCACTGAGGATTTTAGGTTGTCTAGGGAAGCAAGTCTGTCCAGGACGTCCTGAGAAGGCAGCCGGGCAGCCTGGGCGCGGTCCTGGCCGAGCAGCGTGTGCACCTGCTCCTGCACCTTCTGCAGCGACTCCACGGTGCTGGGGAGCTCGCCCATGCTCCTCTTCAGCTCCTCCACGTCGCTGTAGAGCGCGAGCTGGGCCTCGCCCAGGCTCCTCACGGTGCCGGCCACGCCATCCTTGTCTGCCTCTGAGGAGGACGCCAGGCCTTCCAGGCGGCCCTGCAGGGCAGCTAGGCGCCGCTCATGCTCCTGGCTCTTGGACAGGAGGGATTCCAGGCTCTCGGTCTGGCGCACGGTGGCCTCCTGCACAGAGTGGACTCCATCCTCCACGTGCTGGAGCCTGGAGTCCAATCCCTGACTCGTTCTCTGAAGCGCTTCTAGGGCAGCGGAGTGTTTGAAGACTCCATCTTCATCCGGCCTGTGGGAATCGGCCTTCAACTGGCTTAGCTCTTCCTCCAGTCTCCTGATCTCCTCTGGGAGGCGGGAGACAGACTCCTCAGACCGGAGAAGCTTCTCCGTGAGGGCCTGCAGGGCAAGACGCTCTGTGTCCACGGCCTCCTTGAATGCCTGCTGCTCCTGCTTGAGGCTCACCAGCTCCCTGACCTCCGTGTAGACGTCAGCCTCCATGGTCCGGAGGGTGCTCCTCAGTCCCTCCATGTCCCTCTCTCTGGTCTTCGCAGAGGCTTGTATCTCCTTCACAGCTTCCTTCAAGGCTTTCAGATCCTGCTTGTACCCCTCAGATGCTTCCAGAGAGGCAACCTTCGCCTTCACGTCATTGATTTCCTTCTGGCTCCTCTTCTGGACGTCGGTGAAGATGGCAATGTTGTCGTTGATGGACTTGGTGAGCTCCGTCAGCCTTTCTTCCACCGTGTTCTCCAGGGATGTGAAGTCCCGCTCTCGGGCATCCTTCACCACGTGGATCCCATCCGAGAGGTCTTTGAGAATCTCGTTCTGGAGTTTTTGCAGAACTTCGCTGATCCGGTTGACTTCACTCTCCCCTTGCTTCACAGCTTTCTCTGTGAGGTCTTGCTTATGTTGGGAGCTTCTCAAGATGGACTCAAAAGTCCCAAATGTGGCTTGCAGAGACTGAACCTGTAACCAAAACCCAGTTGTTAATTGCTGAGAACACCTGATGGGTTTTATACAACACAACTTTTTTGGTCTCCCCAGCCTCCAGGTTCCCTCTCTTCCAGAAGGCCATCACAATCTTCGTTTGGAGACACATCTTTCCACACACAGACCATGTGGTTTCGGGGGGTGGGGAAGTCAACCCTAGGGCCCCCTCCAAGTGCTCCAGGGATGGTCTGTAACCCAGGCCTGTCCAGTCAGCGCTTTCTACCCATCCACTCCCACCTGGAGCCCCAGTGGTTAGCCCAGGAATGGGCGTGTGGCCTAAAGCAGGTCAATGAGGCAATTCTAGGACTTCTGTTAAGTCCTAGAGCAAGCACACCTCTCTTTCCACTGGGACGGCTAGCTACAGGATGAAGCAACACAAGGAATGTAAGTGTAAGAAGCCAGCACAGAGGGAAGAAGGTGGGACACAGGAAAGTCAAGTTCAGAAGACACAATCTGAATCCCTAGACACAGCTACACCTGAAGGAATCTACTCTTCACCTTTTTAGCCTGCACCACTCAATTCTCCCTCTCTCATTAAACCACTGTGGGGGTCAGCTCCCAGCTCCTACAATTGAGAGAGGACCACAAGTTTTCAAAGGACAAAGCCTGAGGTATGGGGAAGACACTGGGCTAGAAGTCAAGTGGTTAACTGTCTGGGTCTCTGCTTGCCACATCCAGCTGTGGCCCTAAACAAGTCACTGTCCTCCCTGAACCTCAGTGTCCTCCCCTAAAAAATGTGAGCCAGATGACCCTTTGGCATTCTCTGGCTTTGTGAACACATTGTGATCTTGTTTGCCACTATAGGTTCATTCTAAACAAATTCTACCCTAAATAAGGCCTGGCCTGAGAACTAGCCGGGACCCTGGCCTTATCCTGGTGTGGTAGAAAGTGCCACCTATAATGCTTTGTTGCAAAGGGGAAAAAAAGGAAAGAAAAGAAAAAAAGAACCAGACTCTATCAAGTCCCAGGTCTAACCACTAAATCACAAAAAAATATGCAAGAGAAAGATTTGCTGTGACAATGCGCCCATCTAAATCCAGAAAATTCTATGGGATGAATGACCAGGATCTCCAATAATTGAGTGGTATTTTAAAAGCAGGGAAAGATAGGAAACTACTATAGATTATTTAGGAAACTTTTCAATCAAATATAATGTGTGGCTTTTATATGGGTCCTGATTCAAACAAACCAACTGTCAAAAAGACATTTTTGAGCTGGGTGTGATGGCACATGCTGGTAGTCTGAAATGGGAGGATCCAAGTTCTGCCTGGCTCCAAATCCAGCCTGGGGAACATTGTAAGACCATGTCTCAGGTGGCTCATGCCTGTAATCCTAGAACTCTAGGAGGCCAAAATGGGTGGATTACTTGACCTCAGGAGTTAGAAACCAGCCTGAGCAAGAGGGAGACCCCATCTCTAAAAATAGATGGGAATTGTGGCAAGCACCTATAATCCCAGCTACTTGGGAGGTTGAGGCAAGAGGATCACTTGAGCCCCAAGAGTTTGAGGTTGTTGTGAGCTATGATGCCACAGCATTCTACCAAGGTTGAAAAAGTGAAGACTGTCTCAAAAAATAGAAAAAATAAAAATAAATAAGTTTTAAAAAGACATTTTGGGAAGAATCAGCAGAGTCCAATTCAGGACTGGGTATGAGATGACATTCATGGATTACTATAAACTCTGTTACGTGTGATATGCTATGTTTTGAGTAGAAAGGAAGGAAAGGAAAAGGAGCCCTCAGAAACAAATCCTTAAATACTTTGGGTGAACTAATATGTCACTCAGGGCTTCATTTTAAAATTAGATCCTAGTTCACTATTCCCGGGTCTGCCAAGGCAGCACCAGCCAAGTTTTAGGAAGGCTCAGACTCAGCTGCCAGTATGTTCTGAAGCCCTGGACCTATCCATGCCTGATGAATCTTCTGGATTCAGGACAGGCCAGCCTCTCTGCCTGTGCTATGGCCATTCAGAAGGTGGGAATCCAATAGAGCAGAAAAGTGGTTCAGAGTCAAACTGTTCTAACTCCAGCCCCCACCCCCAAAAAAAGAAAGCAGGTGAAGGTGGTGATGGAATGAAACAAGAATGGCTACAACTTGATAATCATTGAACCCAGGGTGCATTATACTGTTCTCTTTGTTTATGCTTGAGCATTACCACGGTAAGTAGTTAAAAAATATAGTGTGGGCTCTGCAGCCAGCCTGCTTAGGTTCAAATCCTAGATTTGACACTTCCCAGCTATGTGATCTTGGGGGAAATTATTTAGCCTGTCTGTGCCTCAGTTTCCTCAGCTGCAGGAAGAGAACAAAAAGAGTGCCCGACATGTAGGATTGTCTTTGGGAGAATTAAGCAAATTAATGTATGCAAAGTGCTGAAGGCATGCCTAGCACACAGTGAATGCTCGATAAACAGAACCCCAGAAGTCTGCAGATGGCTAGTGGCATCCTCAGCCCAATGCCAAAGGGCAGAACAGACTGAAGCCATGACAGGAACGCCAGCAGCATGCCTTGGCTCTAGCCCCAAGCCCAACAGCTACTAACTCTGAGATTATCAACAAGTCCCATTCCCTTTCGACATCCCAGGTGCCTCATCTATTAACCAATGGTCTCTAAAGCCCCATCTAGTTCCATCAGTCTGTGCTTCTCAGACAGATTAGAATAAAGTTCTCTGGGACTTCAGAATATTATGCCACTTCCCTGCCCAACCAAATATAACCTGAGTCATAAAGGGCACTTTACCACAGTTCTTGAGAGAACTCATTTCGGAAACTAGGTTATTAAATCACAGTATCTGCTTGTTCTAAGCACAGCACTCAGAACAGAGAGAGGTGTGAGCACGAGAGCACAGTATCTGCAACATGGTAGGCGTTCAGCCAGTGTTTCCTGAATGAATCACAGAATGAATGAATTCAGAGCAAAACCCAATGTGCTGGTCCTTTCCCCTCTAATCCCTGATTATCACCCCTAACCTGGGCTGGCTCTTTACAAATGGTTAGGAAGGGGACTAGATCAGAAGCTAGGGATAAAACGAAGCCAACCAAGCCCCAACAGTGCTCCCCCACTAAGGGTGTTGTAAGATACTCATCTTTATGTCCAAACATCTCATGAGAATCAATATGCAATGGAATTACCTGTTTCCTCAATAAATGTGGGGGACACCTACTGAGTGGCAGACATTGGGCAGGATGCCTAAGATGAAACACTGGTGAGGACAAGATCCCTTTCCTCAAGCAGCTCACTGCCTAGTGTACATATGGTGGAGCATAGGGGGCCCTGGCTGTTAACAGTGGTGGCTGTTAGCAGTAGTTGATGGTTGACATTGAACAGGTACTTACCATGTACCAGTAACTATGCAAAGGATTTCAGAGACATTACCTTACTATATCCATATCATAATCTCATGAGTTAGTGGTTTTTACTGATCTCTATTTTACAAATGAGGAAATTGGCAAATGGTACAAAATCCCAGAACATCTGATTACAGAACCTGAGGTCTTAGCCACTATGTGATACACTCAGGCAGAGCCCGAATACCTGGAAAGGAGGCTGCTAGCACCTGTTGCTCTGACACTTGTCCTGAGAATCAAGACAAAACAAATAAAGAAAAGTCAAGAGAATTCCCTCTTCCACAAGTAGGTCCTAGTGTCATTAAACTGTCTCCATCAGGCCTAAGTCTACATTTACAATCACACTATGCCACCCTGGGTCTGTCAGGGCAACATACACTCTCAGGGGGCCTAGAACTTAACATTTTCTAAAGCCCTGGACCCACTTACGACTACTCAATCTTCTGGGTAAAACAAAGGTCAGCCTCTCTGCCTGTGCTACAGCCATTCAGAAGATCTGGGCCATTTTCCAAAACCTAGAAAACAAGAAAGACCAGGTGGGCACCCAACTCCAATTCTAGGCATAGCTCTTATTATCTGTGTCCGACCTTGAACAAGTAAAACAACCAGTCCTCAGCTGTTCCATCTACAAAATGGCGATAATTAAGTGGTATTTGCCTCAGAGGGTGGCTAGAAGGACCAAAACCATAGCTATAAAGCATTTAATAGCATGCTTGGCCCACAGTGAATATTAATTATGAATAATATTATAAGTACATTTCCCTGCTAAGAACAAAACCCTATCTCCAACAAGTCTCACAGTGATAAGGGGTTCAAAATTAGGTTGCCAACTTTCAACCTCCCTTCCCTTGCAATTTCCTAAATTGTTACTCTGCCACAGGCAGGGTTGCCACCTCCTGTCCCTCAAACATTCTCAAGATTGTCCCCTAGCCTGTGTGTTCTTCACATTTCCTTCAAACATTTATCAATCACCAAGTAGATGGGTGATGCTACCCTGACCACTGGGATACAGGCCTAGGGAAATTTTGCACCCTCCCTCAAATGGTATCTCCTGGTGTGATTCACAAATACAATGTCTTTTGCTTTTTTGTACCCTCCAGTGGGCCTACACATGAGTAGAGCATGTGACTATCAGACTTCAAAAAGCATTATGATTGACTAGCAAGTAAGTGGGTAAAAGACAGGAGGCAGAGAGGCTAGGGAGTCCATTTTTTAAGATGATTTGACATTCAAGATAGGCAAAGCAGCACTGCCTACTTAATTCTCTTAGAAAAGTCACCTCCCTTGGCCTGCAGCATTTAGCAGGCTGACTCATTCCAGTTGCTCTGCCAGTCTTAAGAGGAAATTCCTAGTCCTGCAAACTCAACAAAAGCAGACAGTAACTTGGCAAGACAAGCAGCATGCTGGGAAAAGGAGGCAGTAGCTCCAGGGTCAGAAGTGGCGGGATTTTTTGTTTCAGTCTTGCAACCAACTTTCATTGAGCAATGACATGAGTGGAGGCCGAGAATGAGATCCAAGGGACTGCACTTGGTCTGGACACACCACAGAAAGGTAGAAGCTAAGCAATTCTGCCTTGAGAGCTGGGTCTATCCATACCTGAAATAGGCCCTTCAGACCATGAACAGGGCAGTGGCCTAGACATTCTCACACATCTGGCACAACCACTGAGGACCTTTTTCAATTCAGTTTAGCTCTAGAAACCTCAATTTTCTGGTCTGGAAAATGGAGTAAAAAACGTTAGTCCTTCCTCCCCTGGGGGTTGCTATGAGGATGAAATAGTTATGTGAGTAAGCTCCCTAAAACCACATAAATGTGTCTAGGAGTCTTACCAGTATGACCCAGTATTTTTGGCATTTCCCTTCCCCTAAAGCTGAAACAGGACTTCTTCAAAGGCCCACAGGGGCTCGCTGGTCCAATACAAAACATGGGGCCTCCTAAAGACAGACAGTATTTCATTTGAACTTAGCTAATGGATAAGAACATCAGTTTTTCCTACTTCAAGCTCTAGAGTCTCCCAGTGACAGAGCTAAGGTGCGGCCTTGCCTGAGGCTCCCAGAGATGCGCTGGCTTCCCTTCCAACCTCATTTTCAGACAACTCTGTCCATTCAGCGGTTCCTAATCCAAAAAGAATGGGCTTCCCGAAGCCTGCCGGCTTCCTTACAGGTCACCGCTAATGTCCTGTGACAGGCCCTTGGCCCACCCTCCCAGGCTGTCCCGACCATCCTCTTAGCGGTCCGTCCCTAGGGAGCGAATCCTCTGCGGCCATTAACAAAGAGGGTCTGGGGGACTGCCTCGTAACTTGAGGACCGGGTGGAAGGAGGGGTTATCCGGGCCAGAGTCCACCAAGGACGGGCGGCCGGCTTCGGCCACCGGGCCTGGGCAGGTAGGGCTAGGAGCCAGCCGGGAGGGTACGAGGGGGCCCAGGCGTGGGTCCGGGGGCCGCGGACGTTGTGGGGGAGGGGGCGGGGGTACCCACCTTCTGCTCGACGCCCTGCAAGCCCTGGCCCAGCTCCTCCTTCTGCCGAGAGAAGTCCTGGTGGCTACGCCGGACCTGCTGGACCTCCTCCAGGACGTGGTGGACACACCAGCCCGAGAAGGCGGCCGCTGCCACCAGGGCGAGGTAGAAGAGAAAGTTGAGCGCGCGGCCGAGCCTGCGCGAGCAGGACGCCGAGGACGAGGCGGCGGCGGCGGCGCCGGAGGACCTGCCACCGCCGCGGTGGCCGCCCTTGCCGTGCGCCTGGTTCTGCGGATGCTGCTGCGGGTGCTGCGGCGGGTGCGGGGCGGGCGGCGGAGGCTGCTGCGGCGCCGGCGGCGGCTTCTTCGCCACGTCATCCGCGCCGCCCGACGGGTGGGCGCCCTTCTCCGAGGGGCTCGCGGCGCCGTGGCCGCCCTTGGAGCCCCTTTGTTTGGCCGAGGGCATGGCGGGCGCGGGGGCGGCCGGGGCCGCGGGCTGGGAGGCGAGCGATCGGGGCGCGCGGCCCGGGAAACTTGCTCGGGCTCCCCCGGGGCTGGGCGAGCGGCACGCGGGCGCTGCTGGCGTCGGAGCGGCCGAGAGAGCGGGCGGCCGAGGAGGGAGGCCGGGCCGAGGAGGAAGGAGGAGGGGGCCTGCCTCCGCCGCCGCGGCGCCGACCCCGCCTCCCGGGAAGGGAGGCCGAGCGCGCCGAGCTGGGAGCGCCTGCCACGCACGCCGGGCCTCCGGGCGGCCCCTCCTCCCCGCCGCCACGACCCCAAAGAGGGCGGGCCGGGTGGCGGCCGGCGGGAGGGGGTGGCCGATCGGGGCCTGCGGGAGCGGGCCGGGAGGCTGGGGGATGGCCGGGCTGGTTCTACGGACGCTGGGGCTGGCGCGGGGGTGGCTGCGAGGGGAGGGGACCCGAGGCGGCCGCGGCGGGGAGGGCGCCGGGCGGGTTCTACGGTGGCCGGGGGTGGCAGCTGGGGTGGCCGAACGGAGGGGGCGGAGGACTGGATCGATCCGCAGGCAACCGAGCTGAGTCGACGGTGGCCTGGGGTGGGTGGCCAGGTGAGGCCGGAGGTACGAAAGCCCGGGCTGACTTGAGCAGCGGGCCAAGTGCGAGCCTTCCCACTCCTCTCGGCCAGTGCGGAGAGAAGAAATGAAAGGGGCGCCGGAGGAACTCTGACCCTTGGAGTGGGAGTCAGGGTGGGAGAAGATCTCAGGCCTTTCTGCTGGGAATTGGGGGAATCCCCTCTTTTCACCCCCCGAGCCGGGCGACAGGGCTGGGCCTGTGCTCTTTCCTGAGGGTTGAAGGCGGAGGCACAAGGGCTCTCTAAAAATCGGTGGGCTTTGGAGTCGTGCTTGGTAAGAGTTAGCAAAGATTCCTGGACTTGCAGTTCAAGTCAGTTCAAGGAAACGCGTTTATTGACCTTCCTTGTTAGCTAAGACAGCTAGGTGTGGACAGCTCGTTACTTTTTCTACAAGCCCTTTCGACTCTTTTCTCTTTGGTGGTCAACAAGTCGGTCCACAGCCCCTACTTGAACAGACCCTGGACTGGGTGCTGGGAGACCAGTGGTAGACACAGGGAAAGGGAGGCAGATCAGGGCTGCCATCCCTATCTTTGGAGAAGAAAATAGAGTAATGCCAGGCTCTGTGCCTAGCGACTTATACGTGTTCTTGAAACTTCACAAAAGACCTATAAGATTGGAATTATTTTTACCCATTTTGTAGGAAAGAACTGAGGCTGAGCCTTTACTCTCACCTGATTGACTCAAAGTCACACAAAACTGTAATCCGAATCTCCAGCTGTTTCTCCCAGAGATTGTCCAGCTTAACCACTTTAGAATGGGAAGGAAACTGGGGCCTAGGGAAGTTAAGCAACTTGCCTACTCCCTCAGGCTAGTTAAAGCTGGGGCAGGCACAGAACTCCCATCCCACTGCTTTCCCAGTAAGTGGTGATTGGTCTGTCCCTAGGAGTGTGTGATAGGGATGCTGATTCTTCAGCCTATTTTGCAATTCTGTTCAAAAAAAAAATCCCTGTCCTTAAAAGCCTATAGGTTTCACCTTTAATGGCACCTTTTTCATATTTTCCCTATAATACCACTTGATACCTCTCTTGGGACATAAGCAAATAATTGCAACAATTGGGAATTGTTGAACTAAAACATGCTAGTTCAATTTAGCAAACCTTTGTTGATGACCCACTATGTGCCTCTCCTTGAGGACAGGAAGCAACCATTGTTTATATTTCTCTTTATATCTCCTAAGGCGCTTTTAAGCATCTCTAGTGAATGAATGAACACTTATGCCTGCCCTCAGGGAGCCTGCATTCCTTGGAGAAATATGCAGGAATATAAGCAGGGCTAATTTGCATAAATTGAGAATATAAACGTAGAGAGAATTTGGGAAAGCTGCACAAGGGGAAAGCTTTTGGGGACACTGGGCTTCAGCAAACCTTTGAAGAGTAATTTGCATGTGAGGAGAGCCGGGAGGATATTTCTGTAGCGGAAATGGGGTGAGCCCAGGACACCTGTTGGACTTGAGGGTTTGTGTTGCAATAGGGAAGAAAGAGATGAGCTGGGTGGAGTGGCTCCAGATTGCAGAGGGCTGTAGAAGCCAGCCAGGCCAGCAGAAGAGTGGCTACTATTGTGGGAGGCCAGAGTAAATTATAGCAAATCCTGGGCTAGAAACATACCTAGCCATCTGCCCCAGACAGGGAGGAAAGTCCTTATTTCAGCTAAATATCAGATGCCTCCTGGCTCTTGAGGGCACAAGACTTTGACCTCGGGATATGTGAAGACAGCAAAAGACTAACTCCTCAGAAGGTGCCCTGAAGAACCTTGTTTAAAAAGTGTTCAGCTAACTTTAGGTTGTATTTGAAATCGCTAGGGTATAAAAGACATTGACCCCCTTCAAGCAGTCCTCTGTGTAAGGGACAGAAGCCATAATTTGCCAAGCACTTTGCTGGGGCCAAGCCAACCTCTGGCCTAGGATGCAAGAACTCTGCTTTTTTAACCTTATCTCTGTCCCCTAACTATGTGACCTTGAGAAGTATACCTAACCTCTTCTCTGGATTTCAGGGTCACCCTTTCTATAAAGTGCATCTCTAAGGACCTTTCTTATTATATTCTTTTTTTTTTTTTTGAGGAAAAGTCATCTGATGGTTATCAGAAATAATTCAGTGATAATTTGGATTTTTAAAAACTGATCCAGACTGCAGGCTTTTTGCCTCTATTGAGCTCCAGAAGAATAAAGGACAGGGAGGAAGGTTGAGTTTGCCTCTCATTCTTTTCCCTCTGGGAGGTAGTGAGTATAATAGTTAGGACACAGGTGCTGGAATAGACTAACTTCAGAGTGTAACCTCTGAACCTCAGTGTCTTCATCTGTAAGATGGGAGTAGTGAAAAACCACATCACCAGGTTGTTGTGAAGATTAGATAAAAGATACCATGTGATTCTGGGCACATATCAAGGCTTAGTGAATAAAGGATAGCCAACAAAATTTTCAGAGTCATTGAGGGAAAGTATAGCTTCACAGAGCTTCTATGTTCAGATTTCAACGATTTTCTTTCATCATTATTTCTCAGAGCTCCCAGGACCATATGTGGCTTACAAACCACAGGCTATGATGTGTTTAACTTTAAAAAAGCAGGCAGTGTTTTCCTCTGAAGTGTGGCTTCTATGTGGTGTTCAGTTACAGCTGGAGGGGGAGGCTGGTGGGCAGGCCTGAAAGTGCATCTTCTAGGACAGGAAGGGACCAACTGTTCTTGGAGATTTCCACTCTTCTAACTCATTTTCCACGTCAGCAGAGCACACATTGAGGGGGTTTCCCTTCGGCTTTTCCTCCTGATTTTGGCTCTCCTATCCCTTTGCCTCTTCTTCCTCCCTAAAGTATATTGGGTGGTTGAGCATGTGGGCGGAGAAGAGGAGGAGACAGAGACTTCTCTTTCACCCAGCTGAGTAAAAATGCCTCCCAACACACTAGGACTACATGGACTGTAAATTATAAGGTTGAGATTTATGAACCAACAGCCCTCTGGTTTTCCACGGTCAGTTAGAACCCCCAAATGTAATAAAACCCCCGTTATCGTCCATTGTCTCTTCTCTGCTCCAGGTTAACAAGCCCACCAGCCCGGAGGCCAAGGCATGCACCTGGCTGCCCTGCACACTGAGGGGTGTCAGCCATGGGCCATCCTTTACAGTTTGGCTTTGGAGGGCTAGGACCTTCCCTCCCAGCCTCAGGGGTTCACTTGCTAGGGAGCTCTCCAAGTCCCAAGTGCTACAGCTCCATGCAGGAGGGGAAGGACTCAGCAGGGGCACCTCCTTGCTGAGGGGTGGATATGTGGGGGCATTTTGATACTGCTATAACAATAAACAGCTTTCCATTTGTTTTGCAGTCCTACAGTACATGCTCAGTAGCATCTCTGGCCTCACTGGAAGAACTTGAGGGGTGGGTAAGACCAAAGGATGGCATAAGGGTAGGAGGTAACAAAGGCCTCATGTTCTTAACATTTGTGAACACATAAAATGGTTTTACTTTTTGACTCCATTTTGTTAAATTGACCATATCCTAAAAGCTGACTGTTCACCCTCCTTTAAACTGTGGTTAACAGATCATATCCTGAGACAATATCAAGTGATAATATCTATAAAAGTATTTTTTTATATAAAAGCAATTTTTAAACTAAAAAGTGATAAATAGGCTTGGCGCCCGTAGTTCAGTGGTTAGGGCACTGGCCACATACACTGGGGGTGGTGGGTTCAAACCCAGCACGGGCCAGCTAAACAACAGTGACAACTGCAACAACAACAAAATAGCCAGGCCTTGTGGCAGACGCCTGTAGTCCCAGCTACTTGGGAGGCTGAGGCAAGAGAATCAGTTAAGCCCCAGAGTTGGAGGTTGCTGTGAGCTGTGATGCCACAGCCCTCTACCAAGGGTGACAAAATGAAACTCTGTCTCAAAAAAATAATAAAAAGTGATAAATGATGTTCACTTATATCCTTCCCTATGGGGCAGGGTTGGGTGTCAAACACAAAGTCTAAGCAATAATGATGATAACAATGGGCACAAAGTAAGGTCTTAATAAGATGATATTAAAATTAAGAGCTTTTGTTGGGTCATTACTATGTTCAGCCGCTGCGCTAAGCACTGGGCATGTACTGTCTTTTAAAGTTCACAGCCACCCTGTGAAAAACTTTGTCTTCTCCCGATTTTAAAGATGAGAAAACCGAAACACAGAGCAGTTAAGTAACCTGCCCTAGGTCCCATGGCTGATAAGTGATAAAGTCAAGATTTGAACCCACGTGGACTGACTGCAGAGCCCATGCTGTTAACCACCATCTAGCCGCTTACAATCATAGCAGGTCCAGCCAGTGCCAAAATAGGTAAATGATGATCTCTAGGGGCTGAGGAGGGAGAGGTCTTCACACCCAGAGCTGGAATGAAAAACAAACAGCTCAGTCCAGGGTAGCCTCTCAGCAATTACTGAAGCTCATTCATTATCAGGCAAACAAATTAGAATTTCACTCCCAAACCGAAATTTCACTGGCTTATGGATAAAGTGATCTGAAGCATCCTCCAGATGGCACAAGTGAAGTTA